ACCGTAACATCCTTTATCCAAGTAACTATCAACGCATCTACAGTATTTGAGTATTTCCAGGTGTAAATGTGTACGTGCTTGAAATAAAAGCAATAAATCATACTTTCAATCTGAATCTGCACAGGAATCCAAAACTAAGTAAAGTAAAAGCATGCCTTTTTATGCATAGAATAGTCCAGTCTATCCCATTTGCTTTATATGCTTCAGATAATACTAAGTGATGTGGCTTACAAAAGGAATTTTCCCACAGGACTAAATGAATGAATGACAAAAAGCACAGCTCTTAGAGTGCACAGTAAATTGAATGCACAGAGTATGGGAGGTTGGATAAAGATCTCCTGTCTGAGAAAAGAGTTTATCCACAGTCTGATCCCTACCTGATAATTCTTGATTCAAAGCTTAAAGAGGCCAATGGAAAAGGGCATGGTAATTAAAACAATGATGGATACATCACCTACAGCCAACCAGAGAGTCTGAATTCTGATTGAATCTAGTGCATGAACTACAGTTTGTCATTTAAATTATTCTGATTTCCTGTTGTGGTTATTCCATTTATATACTTTATCTTAAATATTCTTTAGTGATGAGAAGTTATTTTTAATACTAACAAATGGATTATGCGTCTGTAAGCGAGGCCTGGCAGACAGGAGGAAGGGTATCTGTATGGCAGCAGATTTGTACCTATTCTCCACATGCAAGCACACTGAAATTGAAATGCCCAGTAAACACCTTCTAGGGTGAATATTTTCATTTATTCCAACTCCAGTATTTATGTGTGGACTGGAAAAAGGGATTTTGGCTTGCAACCTCAGTTTGAGAACTGGTACTCTTCGGTTTGGTGTCAGAATATCCATTAAATTTCTCATCCTGATATGGCAACATGAAATACAAGCAACCTAAAAAATAGCACGTATTTACATGTTTGCATATAAATACATATTCACTTTGAACTAAGACATCAGAATGCATTATGGAGTTTAATGCCAGAGAAGCCAATCACAAGGTTTGGCTGGACATGCAATTGGCTTAAAATCTCTTAGGAATACCATACCATACCACTTTAACACAACATATGGGTGACCAGTTAAAAGAGGCCAGTAACCATGGCTCATAACAGGACCATAAAACACTAAAAACACAGACAAAACAGTATAATCTAAAAAGAAATAAACCAAACAGAACATAGTAAAATACAAACTGAAAAAAAAAGATATCAGTCAATCAATGTCAGTCTCACATGTGGTTAAAAGCCTGATCATTCAAAGGAGATTTAAAAACATCAACTGAAGTAGCTTGCCTGGCATAGAAATAATAAAGTGGTTGTAGTGAGTTGCATCTCCTCTCTTCTGAGAGGAAGACTGGAAGGTAGAGTATAAGGGATGAGGGTTGAACAGGAAAAGTTGAGGGTAGAGTAGAAGAGATGAGGGTCAAATGAAAAGAGAATAAACGGTAGAGAGGGTGAGAGAGATGTGAGATAGTGGAATGTGCCCAAGTCCCCATCATGTTGCACAACTACAAACGCCACTTGTTCATTCAGTAAATTCCTCGCTGAAGTGACCTTATACTTCCGTCAAGATTGTTCACACGGAAAGAAATATGATTAGTCCTTCTTTGCTTTGACATAGAGAAATCTAAGTTGTTTTAGTCTATGTGCTATCTTATTTTGAGCCTTTTTATTTTGACTGAGTCACTGCTGCTCTATCACAGCACCCAGTAGTTTCCTAAGGCCACACATCAGTACTATGGAGGCTAGGTTCCAGGCCCGCCCCAGAACTGGGTGAAGCAGGTATATAAAGCGTATGGATAGCAGGAAAAATATGTGTCAAGAACCAGGACTGTAGCTATCCTAGATTTATCAGTGACGTCTTTTCAATGGCTGCTTCATTTGTTCATGTTGAACACTCTCCCTTCCATTACCCATTTTGTTTAATTGGCTATTGATTTTTAATTGAGGTTCTGTAATCATTAATCAACTAATGTGAGTGCTGTTCACATCTGAAATTTCTCAGT